CACAGCACATCAAAACTGTGTTTTTTTCATCGGAACACCCTATATTTTATTTCATTGTTGAATTCTCCCTGAAAATTTGATTCCGACAACGTATCATACTTAGGGTCTAGCAGTGAAAGTTACTGACATATAGGGTGTGCAAAATCGAGATTTCCCAAGTTCAGATTTTTTTCTGTCGAAACTGTTCATTATTCGTCAAAACGGTTTACATGCCCCTATCTCAACTTTCCACCCACTATCAATTGGTGTTCAATTGAAATTGATACAAGGTGGTCAAAAAATCTCAATTTATAATTTGTTCCAATTGAATGTCAATTGAACACCAATTGATAGTGAGTGAAAAGTTGAGATAGGGACATGTAAACCGTTTTGACGAATTATGAACAGTTTCGACAGAAAAAAATCCTCAACTTGGAAAATCTCGATTTTGCACACCCTATATGTCAGTAACTTTCACTGCTAGACCCTAAGTATGATACGTCGTTGAAATCAGATCTCCAGGGAGAATTCAAAAATGAAATAAAATATAGGGTGTTCCATTGAAAAAAACATAGCTTTGATGTGCTGTGACCTTACGGAACACCCTGTGTATTTCAAAGCAATTTTGAAATATGAAGCTCGGTTATCACTTCAATTTGAATGCAAAATTTTTTTTTGTATCTCTCAAGACAACAAAGGTATCGAACTCTGGATTCTTAGTTGGCCACCCTGTACAACTAAATTGGGCCGGCTAGCCCGTGTCCCGGCGGCCGACAGCCGACCGCCGCTCTAGAGCCATCAGTATGCCGTTTATTACATTGCAGGGCTTCTGATGGGCAGAAGCAAGAACTCAAATGAACTGCATTCATGGCATATCTCCGGCCCGATTGAGACGTTTTAGAGTCTGCCATTAATTGTCTGCTTGAGTATTTTCAGTTCCCCGATAGAGGAGTATTTCAGGGTCGCTGATTGACGGGGTTGAATGAATTCAATATTCATGGTATTCTGTTTTTCGATGTCCCATTCTTCAACTGTCAAAAAATATACAGGGTAATGCATATATCTCAGTGAAAATAGGTTTTGTCGATAGGTATCCCAGTTTATATCACCACTTGGAAAGCAAGGTATCTTATTTTCACCCAGATTTGCATCACTCTCTTCATTTTCAAACTGGTTAAACAATGTGGAACATCAAAAAACAGAATTGAGGTCCCCGAGTTTTTTGTGGATATAACAGAAATGTGAAATTCACTTCTGAAGTTGATGAATTATTACATAAAAATCTCTGAGATGGCATCCTGATATCACAGTTATTTCCAGGAAACTAGCGGTATAAACACCCCATACAAAAACAAGAACTGAAAATATCCATGTCTGTATATTATTGCCATGATCACAACCAACACATATTACAACTATGAAAACATCAAACATCTTAATTCTAGTTCTACGTATCACTCTGTATACCCATTATGAAAAGGTACCTGCAATTTCCAATAATAGGTATTTGGGTTTCATCATGCAGGATAGATATTTGTTTTTCCACTTGTTGCTAGCTCTAGGTCGAAAATTACATCACCTATGTACCTACTGAATAACTTGAAAGTAATGTAGGTAATCAGTTATACCTATTATATTGATCAAGTTATTGTCAACAATAGAGTTCAATTCACAAGAAAACAATTCCCAGATATGGGAGAACTTCACTCTTTATCATATTGATATGAGTGTTGCCTGGAGGTGGGATATCATATACCATGAACAGAGATTATACACACAGAAGAAATGTATATCATAGTCTGGATCATTGTGTGATTTCTTCATTGATATCTGTGATTGATGGGCTTCTGGTTGTTGATTTTGTAGCTGAAAGATTGAATGATTTCATTCTCTACTAATACAAAACATGCAACCTTATACATACCTACAGTAATTCTTGAAATATAACTGTTTCTTTAAGAAGGTACTCTTTGATTTTCGTTTCGAAAATAGATTCATGATTCATATGTTATGAAAGCTCATGCATCTTCTCATAAATTATTATATTTTTGTCTATCCGCTGAACATGTCCAAACTATTATTGCATCTGTTTGTCCAATGGTGTTTGTAAAATTATTATCTGAAATAGGAGAATTATTTAGCTGTGCAAGTTTGTATATATGTTTGTTCCTCACTCACTCTGTATTTTTTTCAATTCCCTTCCATTTTGTATAAAAATCCACTAGAAAACCAAACACGAACAGAACACAGTACTAAAATCTCTGTTGAGAGTGTTGAAACAACATAAACAAAATAAAAACTCACGCGAGCGAGGGATGCCAACCTTGAGTGAGTGATGATGGCACACTCCGTTGAAATTTTGATGGTCCTTGGACTTGGATACATACAGCGGAAAACTAGCGGCTGGGAAACAGAGGCCTATCATAAGTATGTGTACATTCTGCCTCCGTCACATAATCCATCGAAATTATATGGAGGGCCTTTCGAGGCATGCCGACATCGACATTTGCCCGCCGTTCTCGCCATGAACCCGGCTTTCTACCGCCTTTCGATGTTTGCTGGGTATGTTAAATATACCCAATTTTCACATTTGCCTCACACTTCAAAATCATGACCGTGCTAATAATTTATTTTTACTTTCAGTTCGAGTTCGTACTCTGGGTTTGTTGACTGATAAAAATATACAACGAATATAATATGAAATGTGTGAGCGTCTTTTCTCATACATGAAACAATTTTACTTCAAACTTCAAGTTTACGTCATTAGTCCTTCTTATATTAGGCAGGTGTATCAACAAATCAGAATGATGGTGACCGATTGTCAATGGTTTCGAACTTTGTATTTTTAGTTGGGATAGATATGGCGTGTTTTTCATTCCAACATTTTGTCATGCGCATGAATCGAAGAATCCATCGAAGTGTTGCAAAATTCCGCTGGAATGTTGATGGAAATCCATCAAACTGTTGTAATAAAAATCGCACTTTCAAATCGCGTCTCGAGAATCCAGCGGTTTTGGAGTAGACACTGACAATTGAGACCATGTCATCATGTAAATTGTTCTGTTTTGTTTTTGATTTATTAAAAATACTGAGGAGTTTTTGAGGATATTTCGAGGGATTTTCGAAGATGGAATTAGTCCTGGTTGATAAAATTATATCAGTCTCTTCCGATTCTGAAGACAAAGATTCATCCATTGACGAAGACGATGATTTGCTTCTACTATTAGAAGTAGATAGAAAAAAGCACGTGAAGATTGTTGGTTATTTCTCAGTCATGAATAATTATTCAGATGCAGATTTCAAATCGCATTCGAGACTGACAAGAGAAACCATTGAGGCAAGTTATTTAATTAATTATTATACCATTCCTATTAGTTGGGTGGTCTATTGTAATTGAATGGAATTGTTATTTTTAGACATTTCTACAAGATCTACAAGTGGCAGTTATCTCTCGCTAGAGAGGCCGAGAAGTCCGAATTCTAGACTGTGTTCTGTTTACTATCTGGTTCATAAGCAACCAAGAGACATTCAGGAGTGTGTCAAACATGTTTGGATTCAATCGTGGTCATGCTCATTCCATTTTCATCAAAACGTGTGAAACAATAAGCTCAAAAGTTGAAAATTATATAAAGTGGCCTAGTGGACAAAGTGCCAGAGGAAATTTACAAAAATTCAATGATCTGAGAGGTCATCAGAGTTTTCCAAATGTATTCGGCTGTGTGGATGGCACTCATATTCCGATTCCAGGGCCTCTCGGGGATAATTCGTATCATAATAGGAAAGGACATCACTGAATATTGCTTCAGAGAATTTGCAACAGCAAATTAGAATTCATTGATATTTATTGTGGTTGGCCTGGTTCTGTACATGATGCGAGAATGTGGCAAAACTCACCAATCTCCAGAAGACTGCAATCGGGAGAAATCAATGAATTACTACCTAATAATAGTTATTTATTAGGTGATTCAGCCTATCTCCTGGAAAACATTTTTTAGGTGCCCTTCAGGGATAATGGTCACCTGACTGCTCAATGAAAAAAAAATCAATAAGTGACTGAGTAGCACCCGTGTTCTCATCGAACAATGTTATGGCAGGCTGAAGGGGATGTTCAGGAAATTAAAATATCTGAATGTCACCAATCTCTCCTACACCAAATATGTGATATTTACAGCCTGCATATTATATAATATAGGAATATCCAATGATGAAATAGATATTATTATCGCTGAATATAATTCAGATTCATCAGGAGAGGAGATCCAAGATGTTTTACCAAACTTGGTTGTTGATAATAATGTAGTAGCATTGAGAAACAGTATAATGAGAAATATGTGTTAATTTTTTGATTTTAATAAACAATTCTTTCCCAAAAGTTGTTTTATTTCAAAACGTATAAAATATCAAAGTAAACTTCATATTTCTTCAATACCTACACTAGACACATTCATCACACAAGAGTCACCTATTAAAATAAACCCTTTCAATTCAACCTAAAAAAAACTGTCATCTTCGAGATCGAGAAAATAAACGAATAATATTAATTTACCCAATCCATTCAAAATATAAAAAATGAACTCCATTAAACTGAACAGGTACTCAATAAATATCACTAGGTACTTGTGAGAGATGTTACTGGAATAAAAACCTATTTTCTATAAATGTTCATGCAATTGCATCTGCTAATTTTTCTATAGCAGAAATTTCCCTTTCTTTCAAGTCTTTTCTTTCCTTCCAGTGGTCATCATACCTTTTGATTCTTTCCAAATATTTCTGGTTATCTGATTCTTGTTTTTTAATCAAATATTCAGCTATGTTGATTTCTTTTTTCTTTGGAGTCTGCACATCTGAATCTTCTGAATTTTCCTTTGAAGTATCTGGCAAATTCTCCTTTCATATTCTTTTCGGTTTTCAGGTTTTTCATTTGACACAGAAGCAGATATATTTTCTATATCTCCTTATATGGTGACAGATGGTGAAATTGCAGCTTTCGTACTAAAGGCTGTGTCAAATTGATCAAAATATTCCCAAGTCACACTGCCTTCACCACTCTGTTGTGATTTTTTTTTTCATTTATTTTATATGTAGTCATAAGATTTCTAAATTCGGTGTCACACATTTCTCCACTTACTTTCAGATTTCCAATGGTATTGACTTCTTTTGCTATCTGACTCCACAGTTTCTTTTTCTTACAGATGGGTCTATTGAATTCTTTTTCTTTCTCAATTCTAACATCAATTAATAATTTTGATGCCTCACGGGTCCATTTGAAATTTTCCAATACAGTAGGAGTACATATCAATGTTTCAGTTGAAGTTGTGGAAGCACAGCTAGAAGTTGAAGAAGAACTGGCAGTACTTAGTGAATCTTGATCAGCTGAATATTCCGAAAGACTCTGGACGGAACTTTCTATGAAGCTTATTCTTTCAGATGTTGGAATATTCTTCTGGTATATTGTTTTATACACTGCTCTTGTGTATCTTTCTAACTTATCTTCATCTGTGAAAATATTATATTGTTGAAATATAGTCCTTGTAGCCATCTTATATACATCATAGAGAATCAATCTCAAATTGCTTACCACTCAATAACTCTTCATAGGTCTCTTGATCCACAGCGACTGAAAACTGCTCATCATTATAAATCAATTCAATGGTATGCAATAATTCATCGCCAGACGTTTGTGCAGAAGTCATCATTAATGCAAATTCGCTATATTCAACTTATTTCAACGTTCGTCGAAAGTTTTTTTTTATTTAACAATGATGATAAACTCAGACGAATAATAAATATCTAACTCAATGACAACTGAACTGACACACAAGCACACAACACACAACGAAACGGAATCCGTTTTTCCATCAATGTGTTGTAAGATCCACTGTTCCATCGTTCCAGCATAAATTCCATTAGAACAATTGGTGACGTCACGAAAAAAAAAACGCATCTATCAATGCGCACTTCCTTCGATGGAATGAAAAACACGCCCGATAATGAAATGTAACAATCATATGAGACGGTCCATCTTATAGAGGAGTTGAGGACAAGCGTCTACAAACACCGAAGGCTCTCTGAATCCGATGATGTCCGATCACCTTCGGATCATCTTTGGATCATTCGCAGCTGCCTTTCGCGCGCGTCTGATTTTCACCCAGCTACTTGAGCTACCTATTATTATTTGTGGTTATGTACAGTGAGGATAATAATTGTCTTGTAATACTTGTTTGTATGAATGGATTTTGGCATTGTATTTTTTCGAATTGTTTGCTTCTTCACCAGAAATCCAGAATGACTCAGTGCCCTATTTGTAATCAATCGTTTTACAACGTCGTAGCTAGAACTATCATTATACAGGCGTTTCCGAGTAACGGGGTGTCCAAAGTTGAATGAAATATCGGTTTTTCATGAATTACTCAAAATACTGTTCGCCGATTTAAATAAAACTTCGTGTGTTTGTGATTTGTAATAGCTTCTTTTCATGGAAGAAGATTTTGAATCTTGTTTCCAGTCACGATAGTAACTATAGTACGCTAATGTTGTTGCTGAGTATGATATTATTGGAAATTAAAAGCGAAACGTTATGCAATCGATGTCAATGGCGTAGAAATAGGGGGTTGATAATTCGTATAAAAGCTTCTCTGTTACTTTTTACTTTTTCATCAAACTTTGGACACCCCGTTACCCGTTACTCGGAAACGGAGCAAGTTAGGACACAAGTTAGTGATTCCTTGTCATGAATTATGACAAGGAATCACCACCTGAAATTAAAGTCATCATTTAAGATACACCCTGTATTTTATCAATTACTCCCTTATGTCAAGTTATTGATGGGCCACCTTGTATGCATTATTGTAAGCTCATTATATCTATTCTGAGTCGAAAAATATGTCAGAATATTGGGGCCCGTACAGTCCCAAGTATCCACAATTTGCAACTTTTCAAAATGTGCGTAGCACTTGAACATTACATCGAATTACTTGCAAGCCTAAATAATGAATAGGTTTTTTTCAGGTATTTTGCTTGGTGGCTACATACTGTGATCATTTTCGATATAGAAGGCTATTGCCCTGATCCTCATGTAGGCGTTTTTAGATGCGCATTTTAACATTAAGTTTAGGTAGGTACCTCTATATTCAACCTTTTCATTCTTTCCTATAGATGAGAAAAATTTAATAATCAACGAGAGCTTTGAATGTGATTTTCTGACCAGCATAAAGATTCTGGAAGCATTGAAAATTGGTGAAGAGAAAAGAGAAACCAATGAATAGAATTCCGAAAAAGAAAAATTCAAACTAGAGCTTATCCAACTCGTTGATAGTATAGTCACATTCATAGCGATGAGGAGGGAGAAAAACCAGTATGGCATTTTCCGACAAGTAACCATCTAAAAGGCATCAGAATAAAAAAATTACTCAACAGAGACGCTTATACCGAACAATCAAAAAAGCTGTTCCTATAATAAACGAATTAGTAAAAAATTAATCCATCCAGATGATATGGACGCCGATAATATCGCGATTAATCTGATGTATCCACCTATTTCAGAATATACTATAAATGGTATATTTAATAAAATTCTATCTTGAAAATTCGTGTCAGAATCTATTTTTTATTTTTCTGTCTAACTGACATTATTATTTTTTTATAATATACTATATGTACATGAAATTAACACAATCATAAAAAGAACATCTTCAACATTTCTCCCCCCTTAGTTTTGAAGCCATATCATGTCGATAAATTCAAAACTTATAAAACTAATCTTCGTCTTTTCGTTATTACTCTTCTGTTACATGAGACAATCTACATATTTTTGCAACTGGTCGTCTGAAGGTACCATTCTTCATTTTCACGTCGACAACTCTGACTTTGCCATCTTTCCCATTATAAACTCTCTGAATCACTCCCAATGGCCATGAATTTCGAGCTTGTGTGTCATCCACGACGATGACAACGTCATTGACTTTCACATTCTTGATGTCCGAATGCCATTTGCCCTTCTTATTCAAGGTGGGTAGATATTCCTTCACCCATCGCCGCCAAAACATATCAGACAATGCTTGCGAAACTCTCCACTGCTTTCTGAGGTTGATTTCTTTCGAGTCGAATTTTCCAGTCACTGGAGATGCTCCACTTGATGAGTTGAGGAGAAAGTGATTTGGTGTGATGCTCTCAGGGTCATTTGAATCTGAAGATACATACGTCAGAGGTCTGCTATTGACCATATTCTCAGCCTCAACAACCAACGTATACAGAACTTCTTCTTTCGGGCATCTTTCTTTCAGTGTAACTCTCAACACGGACTTAACACACTTGATCAACCTCTCCCAGCTTCCTCCCATGTGTGGTGAAGCTGCTGGAATGAATTTCCAATTTATTTCTTTAGTGGTCAGATACGCTGAAATGTCTTCTTTCTTCAAGTTTTTCACAGCATTTTTCAATTCTTTGTTAGCTGAGTGTAGATTCGTTCCGTTATCGGAATGAATTTCTCGTGGATAGCCTCGCCTTCCAATGAATCTACGGATTGCCATAATCGCAGAATCGGTATTCAAAGTACTAGCAATTTCCAAATGAACAGCTCTCACACTCATGCATGTAAAAAGTACTATATATCGTTTTTCGTGTCTTCTCCCGATAGTCACCGTAACAGGTCCAAAATAATCCATACCTGTTATGGTGAATGGTCGGACGAAGCTTTGAAGTCTGCATTCTGGTAATTGTCCCATCTGCGGAACAGCTGGCTTTGCTCTAGATTTTTTACAATAAAAACAATTATTACTGCACGTTCTGACAGCACTTCTTATTTTCAGTATCCAGAATTTCTGTCTAATTTCATTGATCAAAAGCTCCTGTCCTTGATGTTGAAATTTATTATGATAATCTTCAATTAGCAATTTCGTGAAACGATGTTTTGGGTCTAGGATGATGGGAAATTTCTGGAAAAAGTTCAAGTCCTCAGAATTTTGAAGTCGTCCTTTGATTCTCAGGATTCCTTCCTCGTCTATGAACGGTGATAAAGAAAGTAGCTTGCTAGTGTTACATACTGATTTCTCTTTCTTTAGATCTGATATTTCTTCAGGAAAACAAATGCTCTGAATGTATTTGAGTAAAATTCTCTCAGCCCTCTCTATTTCATCATTCTTCAGCTCGCCTGTTATTTTCTCTCTTGTTCTACAATTTTCTATAAATCTCATCATCCATGCTGTTGTTCGAACAAGTCTTCTATATTTTGAAAATCGTTGAACATCAGGTAGATAACTCTCGATTATCCTTGTGATCAAAACTTTTTCTTTTTTTATTTCCAGCATATCCAAGTTCAGTTCTTCCCTCTTTTCTTTTGGCCAAGATCCTGAGGTAGACCTTAGAAACTCTGGACCATCTAACCAATTGTTATTTTTGTTTGGAATTTGCCGAGTGCTCTCATCTGCAACATTTTCTTCCCCAGGAACCCAACACCAACTGGAGACGTCTGTCAGTCCTAAAATTTCGCCGACTCTATGCGAGACGAAGGTCTTGAATCTTTTTGATTCTGATCTTATCCAATACAGTACGGTGCTCGAATCCGTCCACAGATAAGATGTCGATATTTTGATTTCTAAATTACTTTGAATGGTGTTCATGAGTCTACTCAGCATAACAGCTGCTTGAAGTTCGAGTTTCGGTATACTGAGTTGTTTCAATGGTGCTACTCGAGTTTTAGCACTGACGAAGGCTACGTGGATGATATTTCCAACCACAAAACGTAAATAGACCACTGCAGCGAATGCTTTTTCACTGCTGTCGCAGAATCCATGGAGTTCTATGCAGGTACTTTGTGATAAATTAGGTCCGTACCACCTTGGAATGAATATTGTTTCAATTGATCGGAATTCTTGCATCAGGTGAGTCCACCTGGACTCCATTTCTGGGGTAATCATGTCATCCCAACCAATTCCAAGGCGCCATATATCTTGCATGAAAATTTTGAATTTTATAATCAAAGGTGACAAAAATCCGAGTGGATCAAAAACAGACATAGTCAACTGAAGAACTTCTCGCTTAGTTGGGAATTTCGAAGAATTCATCACATTTGGATTGACTTTATGGCAGTGAGTAGAGAATGTGAAATCATCAGTTTCTGGTCTCCACCATAAACCCAGAATCCTCTCTGATGGCTCCTGACAGAACGAATTCAGTTTTTTCTGAGATTCAGATCGAAGTTCATCTGGAATGGTTCTCAAAACCTCCTGGGAATTGCATATCCAATTGCAAATCTCGAAACCGCCCCGTCTGTGAACTTCAATTACCTGAGATATTAGTTGTGCTGCTTGAACTTCAGAGTCTGTTCCATCTAAATAATCGTCCACATAGTGCTTATCAATGATGGCTTTGGCTGCTTCTGGAAATTCGTTCAGATGATTTTCCGCATTTCTGTTCTTCACAAATTGCGCCATACAAGGGGAGGATGTTGCACCAAAAGTCATGGCCTTCATTTCGTATACATCTGGAAATCTAGATCTATCATTTCCTCTCCAGTAAAATCGTTGTGCAGAACAGTCTTCGTCTCTTATTAATATCTGATGGAACATCTCTCTGATGTCTCCACAAAACGCTATTTTTCTCTGTCTGAATTTCCATAAGATGGCAGTTAAACTCCTCAATAAATCAGGGCCTTGTAAAAGTTGAGTATTCAAGCTTATACCATTTGATTTGGCTGCAGCATCAAACACTAACCTCAATTTGGTGGGCTTATTCGGGTTAATCACACCAAAATGAGGTAAATACCAAGTTCTTGGTCCGTCTTTCTTAGCCTCATCTGGTTCAAGTTTTCGTATATATCCTTTCTTCAAATATTCTTCAATTTTAGCGCAATATCTTTCAGAAAAATTAACATTCTTGTCCATTTTTCTCTCCATACATTTCAGTCTATTCATTGCCACCGTTTTGCTATCTGGTAGAATGTCC